GGTGACACGGCTGGACCAAGGGCCCCAAGGGAAGGCATCCTACCTGGGCTATTCACAATGTGCAGGAGAGCTGTTACTGTTCCAGATAAATGTCTGAAAGTGTCTAACTGGATGACTTCCATGTATTAAAAAACCCAAACACTCAAGCTATTTCTTGTTGAGTTTACAGGTGCCGGGGTGAAGGCCAGCCCTGCACAGGACACAGGGCTCCTGCTGAGGGGCAGAGGCCGTGGCTGGCTGGCAGGAAGAAACTGCTCCAGTCTCATCGCGCTCAAATGCAGATCTGATTAGGGATTCTGGGCACTTACCTGGTGCTTACGCCCATCAGCCTCCAGAAAGATATCTGGGCCTCAGTGCCTGGTGCTGGTCGTACAAAGGCACGCACACACACAGGCATGCACACACACTCTGCACTTGTCTGCCTGGGGCGGATGCAGGTAGCGTCCTCTTCAGAGACAGGCTGTGCTGACAAGGAAGGTGTGTGCCGCCTGCTCGGACCCGGGCCGCGTGTGAGCCCGCGAGCACCCCAGAGGGAGCACGGGTGTTTGGCAGAAACCAGCTGAAACATGGCATCATAATAAAAACCTCCTTTAAAGTACTTCTTTTTTTTTTATTGATTTCATTGAAAACAGAACAAGAAATGGTCTGAGCCAAAAGACTGCTCTTAAAACTGTCAAAAACATTTTAACAGAAAAAAATAAACATGACTGCATCATGAATGTTTTAGAAGAGCCGCACAAAAACCCCACTGCTACTGCACTAATTACAGTATTTAAAAAAGTATATGCCAAAAAAAAGTATATGACCTGGCAGGCCGTCACACAAAAGGTGATGGCAAATTTATTCCACGACAAGACTAACGTTTTAAAAAAAGTTTTTTCCTGCATTTTATTCTAAAATCACTTTGTTCTCTTTATACAGTTGATAGTTTATTTTCACATGGTGAGTAGAAACCACACCAGAATCAGCACCGTTGTCTGTGTTTTGTGTTTTTATTTGTCCTAATGTTCAATAACGGTAGAAAATAAATCAGTTTATTCATCATAGCATGTGGTTTAAAAATCAACAGAAGGCGCCAGCATTGCTGCGCTGGCGGGGCCGGTGCGGGGTCCTCCTCGGGCCATGGCCCTCCTGCACCCGCCAGACCGCTTCCTCAGAAAGAAATGCATTAGAGGTCTGATATATAGGACTAGATATAGGACTTCTTTAAAAAGCAAACAAACGTTTTCTCCAAAGTCAGTGACGGCTTGGCCCTGACCTCTCCTAGGTCGAGGTGGGGACGGCATCTGCGTGGTGCCCAGAACTGGCACCAGCCACGCAGGCCTCGTGCAGGCAGGTCTAACGGAGCAGCTCGAGGGTGATGGTGTCTTCGGCAGGTGCCACGCAGGGAGCCTGGGCTGACCGGGCTTTGCCAACAAGCCCCACGGTGGAACAGGAACCAGGGGAGTTGAGGGGGAACGGGAAACGTGGAAACGACAAAACCATCATCAGAAACTCACAAGGTCACGCCAGCGCGGATTCCCAGAGTGTTCCAAAGCGCCCGCCCCCAGCCCGGAGGCAGCCACGCTGGGGCCTCGCAGCCACGGCCCAGGTCCCTCCAGCCCCAGGTCGGAGCCCTCGGGTGTTGTGTGCGTTTCGCCTTCCTCTCCAACCTCAGTGTGAACGGCACCGACGCTCAGCGCCCCAGGCTGGCTGCTGCTCATAGGGGGTCAGCGGTGGAGGAGCTGGTGTCGGGCAGGCCGTTCTCCTGGCCGTCCTGGGCGGCGCTGGCCTGCCGCTGCGCCGCGGCCGTGCTGGAGTGCCGGCACTTGGGGGAGCCACATCGGCAGCTGAACAGCTTGCCTTT